TCCTCCTCCTCCCCCTCCTCCTCCTCCTCCTTCTGCTCCTCCTCCTCCTTCTGCTCCTCGTCGTCCTCCTCGTCGTCCTCCTCGTCGTCCTCCTCGTCGTCCTCCTCCTCCTCCTCCTCCTCCTCCCCCTTCTCCTCCTCCTCCTCGTTTATCCTCGTTCCTCCCTCGGACTGGCCATCCCTGGTGATCCAGGCGGACCAAATCGCGCGAGGAGGGTGGTGGGGTGGGCACGAGTTTGCGCGGGCCCCAGGTGCTAGGCAGCCCTCCTCTCGCCAGACGCCAGCGGCGCCAGCTTCGAGTGACTCTGAAGGCAGGCCCTGTCCCGCCCTTGGAACCCTAGCCTTGGCATTGGCGCCCGTGCAGGCTCTTCCATGAAAGCTGATCTTATGCCACGTGAGTGCCGCCCTTCGATGACAGGCTTCATGCTTCAGCGGCCCCGCGGTCAGAAAAAACACTCGCCCTCTCCCTCTCCATGTGCCCTCCCCTCCAAAGCCTCACGGCACCGGGATCCAGCGAGAAGTTCAGGCGCTTCATGTGCTGCTTCAGATTCATCTCGATGAACTCGAAGACGAGGTGCAGCCTTGGGGCAAGCCGACCGGCCATAACTTGGCAAGCTGTGCTCCTTACACTCCTGCGGGAATCCATCGTACCGACGAGCCTCTCGAGAGGGGTGTCGAATCCGATGGGCCCTCCAGAGGGGTGCTCCCCCAGGCTGTGGCTGATCTGGCAAGCGCGTGGGAGCTGTGCTGGCGCTTGGCGGTGCCGGAGAAGGCTCGGATGGCCACCACCCAGTGGCGTGCCGCGCGACGGCCGAGTCGACTTGGGGGGCGCACCTCCTGCGGAAGCACGCACGGCTGATGGCGCGTAGCTCCGCTTCGTAGGACGGGAGGCTGGGAAAAGCTGAAGACGCTGACGCTTGGAAACTGGGGCGTGCTTGGCGTATCGCGCCGAAGCGTGGTTGGACACGCTAGTATTATGTTGCTCTGTTGCTCCCGTCGAACTCAAGGACCACATCCCAGAGAAAAGTACCGAGAGCACCAAGAGGAGTACCGAAACAGTTTCGAACGAATATCGCCTTGAAAATCCTCAAGTTTCGGTACTTGCCTGGTGCTCGAAATTCTTTCTGGTGGCCAAGGTTAAAGCAGGTTGGAACATCATAACGCTACTAGTCCAACATTGCCTGCCTGTATGCCGCTGTTCGTCTTCGGCCCCCGCGGGGGCAGGGGCCGAGGCCGTGGTGGGGGCCGCCTGCCAGGCGTGCAGCAGACGTCGAGCAGCTTCACGACGTTCGGGTGGTCCGTGGTCTTGAGCACGGCCACCTCCGGGAGGTGCGGACACGCCCCGATCGTGCTCCCCTGCTGCGTCTCCCCTCCTCCCTCTGGGATGGGCGCGGGGGGCGCCAAGGGCATAGGGCATGGGGGGGCTATCAGTGGACGCCAAAGGGGTTATACCTGGCCCAACCTGGCTCATAAGTGGGTTCCACGTGCCCCGAGCGGCTTCGGGGAATTAGACAACTCCGCTAAGAGGGCGGAGCCCACTTAGCCTGGTTCGGATCCCCCCCAAGCCACTTGGGGCATTAGCAACCCACTGATGAGCCAGGTTGGGCCAGATGAAACACACCTTGGCATCCACTGGTAACCCTCCGTATCTCCTTGGCATCCCCCGCGCCCATCCCAGCTCCCCCTCCCCCCATCAATCCGCTGCCTTCGATGAGCCCAGACCTCCGGCGTCTCGATTCTGAACGAGGCACGGGCCCCCGCCCTCTACTCGACCACTTCTCCGGGGCCGGTGTTTCTCAGCGAGTAGTGTTTTGTCAGGTCCCGAGGCCCGGTGAGGGCCCCGAGGGGCCGAAAACGATGACAAAAACTAACTCTTGCGTTCTCTTTTGATTTCGTACCCGACCAAGCAAAGCTGCTTCGTCTCGGAGCCCCAGGCCAGCGGCAGCCATGCTCGGTTAGCCTCGCGGTCTGGACGACGCATCGGCGTGATGAACTTTGGCGCTGCCTTGAGCTGTTCGCGTGGCTCCGATCTGACTCAGCGAGGACGCACGGAGAAGTCGGCCAGGAATCCACGCGCCAGCTGCTCGATCAGAGCTGGCGCTGGGAGACTCGAGCCGCCGCAGCTTCGACAAGGGCTCCTCCTCCTCCTCCAACTGTGCTCCAAGCTCGGCCCCCCCACCGCGCGGCAGCTCCCACTGCTGGGGGGGGTCTCAAAACGGTGCGGCGACAGGCCTCGGCATCCCCGCACACCTCACCGCACGAGCAGTCGCCGCACGGCTTTGGGGATCCCGGATGCCCCCGTCGCCAGAGGCGTCCTCGAAGAGAGGCCCAGGTCCCAAAGCCGTCCGGACATCCCCAAATCCCCACTGACTCATTACACGACGGTGCAGTCATCGCAGCGTGTGGGGGGCCCCCCGTGGGGGAATCAGAAGGCACCGGTAATGCTACCCCCCGTACCTCTCCCAGGGTGCGTTCTGACCAGCACTTCGAGGCGAATCCAGCGGTGGCGACGAGGGCCTCCCAGGTAGCCGAAATGGGGGAAAACGGGCGAAGGGTAGCGGTATGGGTACCTTCACCTCCTCTGGTCAACGTTTTTTTATTCGGCGTTTCGACATTGGGCGGAAGGGGGGGGAGGGGGCGGGTCTGGCTCGGGACCTCTGCTTAATGGCGTCTGTTTGCAACGGTGCGCCCTGCGGAGGAGACCCCACGTGCTCGAAACAGGCGCCGAAAAACAGCCAAGATCTACTCCGTAGGAAGTGGGAGGGGGGGGTGCAAGGGCCCGCGCCGATCGGCAAAACAACGAATAAAAGAACGACCACCTGAGCACCTGCGCGGATCCTGGTCGGGCCCCTCCTGGGCCCAGGGGCCAGAGCACTCGCCCGCCCAGCCTGGCAGGGGAAGGCATCCAGGCCCAGGACGCGCCTGGCCAGCATCGGCGTGCTGCACCCTGAGATCCGACGCTTCGACAAAAAAACACGAAAACTCACGACAGAAGCCCTGGACGGACCCCCTCGGATCATAAGAAACTCATGACTGGAATGTTGTTCGCCATTTTCGGCCTCTGGGGGCCCCTACCGGCCCTCGGGACCGTCAACAAAAAAAAACTGGTCCCTGAGAATGGGTGCAGACCGCTGGGGGTCCACGTCATGGAAAATTCATGACGTCGGGTGTATGGGCCCTAGGCTGACCCCAATTTCCCGTGGCATTCTCGAACCGGATCGATCTGTGATGGTCCTGGGCGAAAAACCACCCAGTGTTGCAAAATTCAATGACTGGATCTCAGGGAATGGCGGGGGTGCTCCGAGCTAGGGCCCCCGTCCCCAGACCCCCGACGCCATGGTTGTTTTACGACGTCGATCCCCAGAGCCACCCAGAGTTCTCGACCCATTCCCCGGGACCGGCTTCTCATCTTGAGCTCTTTTTTAAAGGCCCCGAAGCCTGGTAAGGGCCCGCAGAAGCAAAAAGAGGGCAAAAATCCCTCAGCCGTAATTCTTCCCGCGAGCCACCCCTCCCGTCCGGCCAAGGCCCGCGAGGCAGACGAGAGCATTCCGTCCTTCCTAGACCCCCGACGTCATGATGTTTTCAGTAACCCTCACAGGTCTCGACCCATTCCTCTGGACCGGTTTTTCATCCCGAGTCGTTTTTTGACGGTCCCGAGGGTCGGGAAGGGCCTCGAGAGGCCGAACATCGGGACAAAAACCTCCCCTCATGATGCTGTCACTGCACGAGGGGGCCTGGGTTTAGGGCAGGCTCACCTTGGGGCCCCCGGATGGCCGAGTCCGGTGCGGCAGCAGCGGCCTGCGCGCTCGGGTTCTCGGCCTCCCCGCCTAGGCCCAAAGGTCACTCCGGCGAAAGGTCTTCCCTGACACCCGGCTGCCCCTTCTTTTTCAACGCGTGGGCCCCAGAGGTCTGGACCACTTCCCAAGCGTCGTCCTGGGCTGTTTTTTGACGGTCCCGAGGCCCAGCGAGGGCCCCGTCGAAAGCAAGCCAAAACCGCCCGGTCCGATTTTTGTTGGAGCGTCAGATCTCTGGGTCATGATTTTAGGTCGGGCATGTCCCTCTACAGGCGGATTTGGGACGAAAATCAAAAATAACTCAGAAATGATCAAACATATGTTTATTTGGATAGCAAGTACGTATAATAATAACAACAATAATAAGAAGAAGAAGAAGAAGAGTAAAAATAAGAAGAAAAATCGCTCCCAGACGATATTTTGACCAGTGTTGGATATTCCTCCTGTAGAGGGACACGCCCGACTTTAAGGCATGCCCCTCCCGCCCCCGGGGCACGGGCCGCAGGGAGAGGGCGGCGGTACCCGGCGGACGGGGGACCAGGCAGGCGGCGGCCTCCCGGATCGCCGTGCTGGGGATGCCCTCCTCCTCGCCCTCCATCTTGACCTGTCCGTGGAGCAGGGTTGGGTGCCCGAGCTATCCAGGGTAACTCGGGCCCGGGGTAACTCGGGTTTGGATTCCCGAAAAACGAACCCGAGTTGGCCCTGACCCGAGTTACCCCTGATGACTCAGGGCTCTGGACACCCGAATTATCTGGGGTAACTCGGGCCCAGGGAAATTCGGGCTTCGCTTCCCGAAAAACGAACCCGAATTAGCCCTGACCCGAGTTACCCCTGATGTTTCAGGGCTCTGGCAGAGACCGACCGTCCCGGCATTCCTGTAGGCCTACCACGTAATGTGCTTAGAACCCGGAAACGTTCGATGAGCGAGAGTAACGCTCTTAGAACATACACCCGATGTGTTAAAAAGAACAGAACAGTCCCAAACAGATCTGTTCTAAGAACATTTCGTGCAGACCACGAAAGGATCTAGGAACATTTTCAAGTGGGACTATAGGAAAGCCAGGACGCTTCGCCACTGCTCGAGTCCGGCGTGGCGCAGCGAACCGGCAAAGACACCGTGCCGCGACGACAATCGAACCCAAAGATCCGACGCTCCAGACAAATTGGAGCGGCCGGGCGGTCTGAGGCTGCTTTCGGCCTCCGGGGCCCTCGCCAGGCCTCGGGACAGTCAAAGAGTGGCTCAGGACGACAAACCAGCCCTTGGGAAGTGGTCCAGACCTCCGGGGCCCACGCATCGAAAAAATTGGAGCAGCCGGGTGTCAGGGGACACTCTGCCACGAGAACAATTGAACCTTAAACAAAAGAACATCCTCCGCGAACACGAGACCGTCCGCAGGCCAGAACGCACAGGACATCCAAGAATACCCTCCCCAGAGTGCACAAACATATCCAACAAACACGAAGAACATTATAGTGTACCCCACCCCGAACCGACCTTGATCTTATACCTCGGTTCGACTTTGTATACACCCGGAAATCTGATCAATAATGGTTTTGTTTAAAAGATCTGGTCCAGCTTCCCGAAGGTTTCTGGACAGGATCCCGTTCGCGCTGGAGGGGCGAACGTGCTCAAGGACCCGGGCCAACTTTCCGGCAAGCTGGTTGAGAAAAGCCGGCCTGGCCTAGCTTTCGGGAAGGAGGCTTCTTCATCAGATGCTCGACTGTATGCACTAGAACCGCACGTGCGCTTCGCGCGCGCTTAGGTTCTAACGCAGTCCAAACCACCCCCACAGCGTCGGATCAGGATGGACATCCCCCCGCAAGAACCACCAAATCATGGGAGCGTACTTCCTGATGGCCGCTCCAAGGGGAGCGCGGCTTTCATTGGTGGCGATAGCGAGCGTTTTGGCGTGGGAGGGCGGGGGGGCGGGGGCATAACGTAACGCCCCCACCCGGTGTGTGGCTCCAGAACCACCGCAGCGTCCGCGCGCACGACGACGACGACGACGACGACGACGGCGACGACGACGACGACAACGAGCGACGAGCGACGAGCGACGAGGCCGAGGCCGAGGCCGAGGCCGAGGCCGAGGGCGACGACGACGACGACGACGAAGACGACGACGACGACGACGACGACCATAGCGGCGAGCAACCAAGACGACGGCAAGAACGAGCGATGGCAAAGACGACGACGAAGACGACGACGAAGACGACGACGGCAAGCGACGCCAAGAGATCTCAGGAGGCCTGCGGAGCCCTCTGGAGGCTTCCTGCAGAGGCCTCTGAAAACCGCTCGGAGGTCCTCCGCAGAGTTCCAGGGGCCCTCGCAGGCCTTCGGAGGCGTTCGACGACGACGAGCGACAGCGAGCGACGACGAGCGACGACGACGACGACGACGACGACGATGACGACGACGACGACGACGACGACGACGACGGTGACGATTACGAGGACGACGACGCGCGACGACGACGAGGACGACGACGACGACAACTACGACGGCGACGACGACGACGACGACGACGGCGAGGATCGACGCCCAAAGGTCTCGCAGAGATCTCCAGAGGACTCCATGGACCTCTGGAGGCTTCCTCCAGAGGCCTCTGAAACCCTCCGGATGGCCCTCAGAAGACTTCCGGAGGCCCTCGAAGGCCTTCGAAGGCGTTCGACGACGACGACGACGAGAGACGCCCGGAGGCATCCAGAGGTCTCTGCACAGAAACCCTCCGGAGGTCCTCCGAATGCCTCTGGAGGCCCTCGAAGGCTTGCGAAGGCGTTCGACGACGACGACGACAACGAGCGACAGCGAGCGGCATCAAGCGACGACGACGACGACGACGACGACGACCGTTGACGAAAATGACGAGGGCGAAGAGGGGATCCGGGGAGCACATGCATACGAAGGCGTCGCTGCCTCCACGTGGCGTATATGCGGCGGTATGCTCCTTACCTCCCTCCCTCCTTTGTCGTCCTCGTCGACGTGCTTCGCCTCCTCTTGTTTCTTCTCAAACGAGCATCAAAAATGCCCGCGACCACCGAGTGGCGAGGGAGCGAGACCGCAGCAGTTCTGCAATAGCCTGCGGGCACCACGCGCATGTACAACTCACAACCACCGAAGGGCTTCTCCAAGATCCGTACTGTAACGTCTTGGCTTTTCGTTGACCAGCACGAAGTGCCATATGTGACGCCTCGTGGACCGGGGGAGCTCTTCCCGGGGTTCGGCGAGCATCGGCTCCAAACGAAACCCTGCACCGTGTCCGGGGCACCACTCTCCCTGGATGACCGCGACGGACGGTCGGTACAGAGCTCGGTGCTGTGGGCAACACCCGGGAGGGGGGCGCTGTCCTTCGGGAACGCTGCGGCGGAAGGCGTCAGATCTACGGTGTTTGGGCTGAAAGTTGACCTTGTTTGTTTGACCTTGTGAATCTTTTTCGGGTACCACGACATAAAGATTTGTTTCGCAGCCAGGCGATGCCGGTGGAACCTGGTTCCGGCATGCGATACCAACGAAGCCAGCGACACGGACCGCGACGCCTTGGGTGCAGGGGGTCGGCGCTTCCCCATTCGTGTTCGCTCTCCTCTACGCGGACTATCTGAGTCCTTTCTCCAAGCCTAGATGGTTGAGGGCCGCAAGGTATTGAACCAGGCCTAGAATATTCGAGCGACTTTGTCCCGATGTTCTCTTGTGGCTATTTGTTATTCCTCATCCTCTCCATGTTCACGTTCCTCCAGGTTCTAACTTTCGTTCAGTTGTTCCTGATGTACAACTCGTGGTGGTGAGCATGTACAACAAGATGCTAGACCCTGGCGGGACCACAATAGCCCGTGAGAGGTGCGACATGCGAGTGCCACAGTAGCCTGCGAGAACCACACTATCCTGCGAACGCCGGGTATGCCTGCGAGCACCAAAGCATCCGAAGCATGCCTGCGAGCACCGCGCCACGGCAGCGCACGAGCGCCACGGTAGCAAATAGCCTGCGAGCGCCTCAATGGCCCTCGAGGAAACGCAAGCGCTGCGACCGCACCTTGCTGCGAGACTGCGGTGCACGAGCGCACGGCGACAGTGCCAGGGAAGCACTGACGGGGGGGGGGGAGGGGGGGGCAGCGTTACATTGTGGGTGGGGGGCATGGGGGCCATAATGCGCGTTATAGCCCAGAGGGTTTCAAAAACAGGCTCGAGTTTCTGGATTCTGACTAATCATGTCCCGAGAGATCCCGCTGCACTGAGCAGATACACCGAGCAGCTGCCCGAAGGAACTTGTGGACGACTTCGGGAGGCTCGTGGACTATGGACCGCCTTCAACGGTCTTGAAGATCTCGTCGGCGTCTCGAGACCCCGTCGGATTATCTCGGAGGTCGGAGGTGCCTTGGTAATCCTGGGGCCGATAAAGGCAATTCAAATCATTCAAGGGCTTCTAGAGTCAGTCGAAGCCGTCGTGGGCGCGGCCTTGGGGATCCCTCAGGCCGTACTGCGCCTTGCTGGGATGCGTTAAGGTGTTGCACTACACACGGTACCAGACAGATGACGCGGCTCACTCTTCTCATGGAGGCGACGTCCAGCACGACTTCGCGCCATAGGCTGGCCCCAGATAGGTATGCGTGCAGGGCGAATTCCCCAGCTGTTTCTTCAACCGCCCAAGAAGGCTCGAGAAAGGCGCGCAAGGCAGCTACGAGGAGCACCCAGGGCAGCCTAAGGATACCCGAGATTCCTATAAAGAGCCTGGCAAGTTGGATGCCTTTGGGGGGCGCTTTTGGAAGGCTCTTGCGGCTCTGGGGGCGGCTGCTCTTGGGCGCCTCTTGGGACTTCCTGGGGTTCTCCTGGTGGCCTCTGGGGACTTCTTGGGGGCGCCTCGGGGGCCTCACCGGGGCTCTTGGCGCCTTTCGGGGCGGAAAATTCGAAATGTCTGTTCAGATCCCCGCGCTTGCTTCTCTCTTGGGCCGTCTTGAGGGCCTCTTGGGCAATATTTGGAGCATCTTGGGCCGCCTTGGCGCTCTCTTGTTCTCGAGGGGTGGCCCCCCCCCCCTCCACACACACAGCTCTGTGCTGGCATGGTGGCAAGAACGGCGGCCGCGACGCGAGCCAGGTAAAGGGAACCAGCAGGTCGGAACGCGCACGTGCTCAGCAACGGGACAGCCTACCTCCTGACTCCTCGTCTCTGTCACTACAGCCGGACTTAGGCCAGAAGAATATCCTTCAAGAACGTGATATCCTCCGTCGGCCAAAACAAACAGAACACCCAAGGGTACCCTCCCCAGGATGCACAAGAGCATTCAGCACACACGAAGAATGATGGGGTACCCTCCCCGAGCCGACCTCGATCATCTACCTCGGCCCGACCGTAATTAGCAGCGGATCCTTCTCTGAGGCACTGGCCGCAATCGGACAGAGCGGCGGGCAGAGGCAGTCTGCAAGGGGGCAGCACGGGGGCACACGCCCGGGTCAGGTTGGGCATGTCCCTCTACAGGCGGATTAGGGGAGAATCACTAAAAGAAAAACGAACACGGTGCTGGGAAGGTCAGAAGCAGAAGTCGCTGTACAGTAGGAGCTCGACCACGAGAAAAACCCTCCACAAGAAACCCAACCCTGAGACCCCAGGGAGTCCATCGATTGCTGGTGTGGGAACGTCACGCTTCCCCGGCAAAACCATCGAAACCCAAGAAATCCAGGGCACATGGGCAAAAGGGCGGCTTGCCGATCGCCGTGCGCGATACGACAGCAGCGGCCTGCGTGTGCTCGGCCTCCCCGCGCTCCCCGAGAGAGACGCGCGCACCGAAGGCCACTGCGGCGAAGGGCCACTCCTACAGTGGAGGCCGGATGTTGGAAGAACGACTAAAACCAGCCAAACAACATTCAAACATGGTCAAAGAATAATCGGCCAATCGTCCCCTGACTATGTTTCAACTATGCTTGACGACTCCTCCTGTAGAGGGGCCTGCCCGACGTAACGCCAGGGCGCAGGCCGCAGAGCCGAGGCAGACCCTCGCGGCGTGCGCAGGCAGACGCGGCGGCGGCGGCCGCGGAGGACGAGCACGGCGCTGGGAAGCTCAGGAGCAGGAGTCGCTGTACAGTGGGAGCTCGACCACAAGAGAAGCCTTCCACGAGAAACCCGTCCCACCCTGAGACCCCTAGGGCGTCCATTAGAAGATTGTTGGTGTGGGCACGTCACGCCTGCCACAGCAGAACCAGCGAAACCGAGGAAACCCAGGGCACCCTGGAGGCAAGCAGGGTGTTTCTTGGCACGGGCTTCCACCGCACACGCAGCAGACTGAGTCCCCGCTGACACCCCAGGAAGCCCAGGAAGGTGGTCTGCGGCCCGCTGCTGAGGGGGCTGGCAGGGTCGCGTCAAGGGGCGTCCTCCGAAAGGGACGCCATGGGGGGGTGCTCTGCCAAGCCGCGGAGGCCTCCAGAGCGCGGGGAGACGACGAAAGGCGGAAGGGCCCAGATCTCCAACGCCGCGACTCGTGCGCAGCGCGGGCCCCCTGGATGTGTCGGCCTGGTCCCCTGGCCCGGCGAGGGCCCCTGCACGGATGCTGAAAGTGGCGAGAACCCATGCGACAATGAGAGAAGGTCCGGCTTTCGGGTCGTAACTCGGGTCTCCAGCAGCCGTTCGGAGCGAGCCAGGCACCCCCAGAACGCCCTCGGCGAGGCGCAGCTGCTTGAGAGCATCCGGAGGCTGGAAAACCTCCAGGAAGCAACGGAGACGCCCGAAAGTCTCCAACCTCGAACCTCGGACTGGCGGAACGGCCAAGAGCATTAGGTTGGGCATGTCCCCCTACAGGCGGACTTTGGACGAGACATCCAACAGATTCCAAAAAGTGTCCCCAAATAGTTTTAAAAAATTATATGCAATCGTCCCCATACTATTTTCTGCCTATTCTTGAACATTCGAACATTCTGAAGATTCCTCCTGTAGAGGGACACGCCCGCCTTACCAGAGCAGGCTGGGAAAAAGCCGCCTTCTTGACGGCCACGGTTCGCCGAGTCTCTCTGCACCTCGGCCGCCAGGCGCTGCCACGCTGCCCATCCCTGGAGGGCATGCCTCACAGCTGGGTCCTCCTGTGCGTGCGTGCGTGCGCGCGTGCGTGCGCGCGTGCGTGCGCGAGTCCGTTGTGTGCTGTGTGTCGCGTTTTGTGTGTGTGTGTGTGTGCGTGTGTGTGTGTGTGTGTGTGTGTGTGCGTGTGTGTGTGTGTGTGCGTTGTATGCGTGATTGTGTTATGTTATGAGTGCGTGTTTCGTGTGTGTGTGCTGTGGTGTGTGCTGTACGGTGTGTGATGTGTGACGTGTGGTGGGTGATGTGTGATGTGTGATGCCTGCGGGCTGCGTTGCGTTGCGTTGCGTTGCGATGGGTGTGCGTGTGTGTGTGTGTTTGTGTGTGCGTTGGGTTGACTTGCGTTGCGTGTGCGTGTGCGTGTGCGTGTGCGTGTGCATTGCGTTGCGTTGCGTTACGTTCGGCGTGTGTGTGAGTGTGCCTGTGTGTGTGTCTGTGTGTGTGCGTGTGTGTGTGTGCGTGTGTGTGCGTACGTGCGTGCGTGCGTGCGTGCGTGCGTGCGTGCGTGCGTGCGTGTGCGTATGCGTGTGTGCGTGCGTGTGTGTGTGCGCGCGCGTGCACGTGCGTGTGCGTGTGCGCGCGCGTGAACGCGTGAGCGCGTGAGCGTGTGTGCGTGTGTGCGTGTGTGCGTGTGTGCGTGTGTGCGTGTGTGCGTGTGTGCGTGTGTGCGTGTGTGCGTGTGTGCGTGTGTGCGTGTGTGCGTGTGTGCGTGTGTGCGTGTGTGCGTTTGTGCGTGTATCTGTGTGTCTGTCTGTCTGTCTGTCTGTCTGTCTGTCTGTCTGTCTGTCTGTCTGTCGGTCTGTCTGTCTGTCTGTCTGTCTGTCTGTCTGTCTGTCTGTCTGTCTGTCTGTCTGTCTGTGCGCGTGCGTGTGTGTGTGTGTGTGCGTGCGTGTGTGTGTGTGTGTGTGTGTGTGTGTGTCTGAGTCTGTGTCGGTGTCTGTGTCTGTGTGCGTTTGCGTGTGCGTGTGCGTGTCCGTGTGCGTGTGCGTGTCCGTGTGCGTGTCCGTGTCCGTGTGCGTGTGCGTGTCCGTGTGCGTGTGAGGGTGCGTGGGCGTGTGCGTGTGCGTGTGCGTGTCCGTGTGCGTGTGCGTGTGAGCGCGCGTGCGTGTGCGTGTGCGTGTGCGTTGTGTGTGAATGTGGTACACCCTCGCCCTCGCTCTCGCCCCACTCTCCGGCTTTCCCGCCCCCCCTGGCCTCTCGGTCAGGACAGGGTACCTGGCGCCCCCCTTCCGCCCGTCCCGCTTCAGCGGGCCGCGCCCTGCCCGCCTAACTCTGGCGCGGCGCCCCTCCTGCTGCCCCGCCCTTGCTCACCGCCCCGCTGCCCCGCCCCGCTGGGGAGACCAAAAGGCACCGATACCGGGGTTTGTTCTGACCAGGACTTCGAGGCGAGTCCAGCGGTGGCGACGAGAGCCTCCTAGGAGGCCGAGAAACGGGAGAACGGGCGAAGGGGTAGAGGTACGGGTACCGCCCCACAGGATCAGTCGGGCCTTGCAGGACCCTGCAAGATCCTACTTGATCCTGCAGGACCCTGTACCCAAAAACCTGGGTCAGTGCGACCCTGGCCCTGCAGGATCCTGCAGGATCCGGCGCTCTGACTGTCCCCCGTTTGCGCTGGCCCCCGTCTCTTGAGCCCCTGCGCCCCGCTGCCCCGCCTCGTCCCCTGCGCCCCGCTGCCCTGCCCGCTGCCTCGCCACCCCGCCGCTCGCCGGCCCCTGCCCGCTGCCCCGCCACCTCGCCGCCTCGGCGCCGAAAACCGGGCCACTGCCCCGTGTGAGGGGTCGGCCGTCTCGCCTTTTCCTGTGCCTCCCTTTGGACTACCAAGCGCGAGCGCGGTCCTCCGCGGCGTTTCGTCCGACGGGGTGGCGAGTCGCCCATTCGCGACGACCGAAAAGTGTGTTTGCGTGTTTATGGCACGGTAACAGCGCAGCATTTAGAGTGCACGTCGGGAATGTCAAGTGCACTCTAAGCGGCCAAGTGTTTAGAGTGAACGTCGCAAAGAGGTGCACTCTATACGCGGTTGTTCAGCGCTTAGCGTGCACTTCCGATTGATTAGACAAAAATGTTTAGAGTGCACTTCCGAATTCCCAGACCAACAGAGTGCAGTTATGTTGTCAGAACGCAGATCTGGCTCAGCAGTCCCTGAGGTTACACTCAGCCTACGGCCCACCGCAGGCCCGAGCCACCTCCACCTCCTCCTCCTCCTCCTCCTCTTCCTCCTCCTCCTTCTCCTCCTCCTCCTCCTCCTCCTCCTACGTGCAGCCGAGGTGATATCCAGGGCAGAGCGAGGATGGACGGGACAGGAGGCAGGGGAGAGGGAGGAGGAGAAGAAGGGTGAGAAATAGGAGGAGGAGGAGGAGGAGGAGGAGAGAGGAAGGAAAGCGGAAAGATATATTACGAGGCGCCATACGAGCATGTCACTCGGAGGACGGGGCGGAGGGGACGGAGTGGAGAGGTGAGCAGAAGAGACGGAATCGTATAGAGTGCACCCGACCGAGGGCACTATACACTCATGCTCAGGAATCTGGCAATGTAAAAAAAGATCGCCAACTAAAAACGTTTAGCGTGCACGTCCGCGTTCAACATAGAAACGTATAGGGTGCACGACCGTGTTTGGTGTATGTGTATATAAATCCCACCAGCCCTCTGGGCGTCGGTGGTTTAGAGCGTTTCCTCTTCCACCCCTCCTTATTCCCCTTCGGCGAGGGGTTTACCCCTCCCCCTATCCCCTCCCCTGGACATGGACGGGGGGGTCCGCGGGTCGTTGGGGCGTCCAAGATGGCCTCGGCGAGGAAGCCAACATCTAGATGTGTCTAAGGTTTTGGCCCCACTTTGGCCTCCTGGGGGGGGGGGCAAAGCTAATTCCCAACCGCCCCTTCTTTGATAGATCTCCTCCTAGATGGGGGGGGGTCCGGGGGTCGCAGCCAATCGCCGCATGAGTCTGTATGCTGCTCCTGAAGCTGCTGCTGCTGCCGCTGCTGCTGCTGCTGCTGCTGCTGCTGCTGCTACTACTACTGCTGCTGTTGCCGTTGGTGCTGCTGCGGCTGCTGCTGCAGGGGCTGCTGCTGTGCAGCTGCAGCTGCCGCTGCTGCTGCTGCAGGTGCAGCTGCAGCTGCTGCCGCAGCTGCTGCGCGGCCGCCCCGGCTGCCGCCGCCGCCGCCGCGGGAGCCGCCGCCGCGGCGCCACCGCCGCCCGCCGCCGCGCGCACGCCAGCCTCCAGGCGGGAGGCGGCGGCGGCGGCGGCAGCAGCAGCGGCCAGGGCGGCAGGCCAGGCGGCCCGCCGCGGGCGGCGGCAGCCGGGCCAACGGCGCCACCGCCGCCGCCCGCCGCCCGCGCGCGCGCCAGCCCCCGGGGGGGGGGGGGGGGCGGCGGCGGCGGCAGCAGCAGCAGCAGCCGGGGGCGGGCCTGGGCAGGCGGCCCGCCGCGGGCGGCGGCAGCCAGGCCCGCGGCGCCACCGCCGCCCGCCGCCGCCGCACGCCAGTTTCTGGGGGGGAGGCGGCGGCAGCGGCGGCGGAGGCAGCAGCGGCCGGGGGCTGGCCAGGCCGGGCGGCCCGCCGCGGGGAGCGGCAGCCAGGCCCGCGGCGCCACCGCCGCTCGCCGCCGCGCGCACACCTGCCTCCAGGGCAGCAGCAGCGGCCAGGGCGGCAAGCCAGGCGGCCCGCCGCGGGGGGCGGCAGCAGGGCCTGCGGCGCCACCGCCGCCCCCCGCCGCGCGAGCGCCAGCCCCCGGGGGGGAGGGGCGGCGGCGGCGGCGGCAGCAGCAGCCGGGGGCAGGCCGGGCGTGGCGCGGACCGCGGCGCAGCGTATGGGCGCCCCCTCGAGCGGCGGGAGACTGCCCCGGAGGGGACAGGCCCACCAGACGCCTTGAGCCAGGCTGCGGAAGCTGGTGGGGATATTTTTGTTTTGGTCTGCGGCCGCGCGACAACGGTCTGGCGGCGAGAGGCAATGTCCGGGGCGGGCGGCACAGAGCGAATTGGCGACCCCAACCGCCACGTTGGCAGGCCGGATCGCACCTGCACAACAAGCGCGCCGTTGCACATGCACTGAACAAAATGCTCGGCATCCACCAGCAGACGCACCTAGGCGCCGCCCAGTAAACCAAAGTGTACAAGCGGCCGCGGGTGCGAGTGCAACGGAGTGAGTCGCCAGTGCGGCGCCAAACTCCAAGCAGCCAGCCCGGCTAGCTACGCACGAACCCGGGAAACCGGGCTGCCGGCGGTGGAAAACAAGAGGCAAAAGACGCGGAAGGCTGAACCACTCAGCGCGCAGCCCTCGAACTCCACCGCCCAGTTGAAGGGGGCCAGCGGCACTCATCGCATCGAGTCCGGCGCCTGCGACGAGTGGCCCGGTGAATGCGACGATGCGTTGAACGCGGGCTGTACACGGCGGCAACACTCAGAGCAAGGCCTGCGGGCACAAAGCCCCAGTGCCGGTGAAAGCTGGTGGGGATACGCGAAGCGTTTAGAATACAGATGGAGTCGGGAAGGGAGAGACGCGTATAGAGTCACCGACTATGGGTGGCACTTTGTCCCGGGAGGGGCGCAATGCACTCGAAATACTGCGTCTTGACCGCACGTGTGTTGTATGTTGTGCTTGCGCGTGTGCGCGAGTGCGTTGCGCATAGATGTGCGTGTGCGCTTGAGTGTGTGTGTGTGTGTGTGTTTGTGTGTGTGTGTTTTGTGTGTATGTGTCAGTGTCTGTGTCCGTGTCCGCGCCTGTGCCTGAAAGTGCGGTGTGCGTGCGCGCGAGTGTGTTTGTGCGCGCGCTAACTTCCTAGCACAAATATAGCGAGGGCGTATTACAAGAAATTAACTCGAATCTGATTGATTACACATGAACATGCGCCAGCACTGCAACTGCTGATTGCATACCCCACCCTGGACGATGGTCATCATGGTTTGGGATCGTTCGCGCTTGCCACCGACTGGACAGGGTCGGACCTCCACTTACACAAAGCTTCTAGGCAAAACTGCCGCCTCGTATTCTACACTCGATGTGCCAACCTGCCCTTCTTTAGCGAGACCAGCTGAGGAAACTCCATGAACCACACCTTCGCCTGATCGCACCGAAACAGGGCCGAGTCCATGACGCATCTTCCACGGCAGAGTCCGATGACAGTGTGTGATTGTTGGGCAGTGTCGCCCCTGACGGTAGAGAAACAGAGCTGCAGCTCAGGGATGGCAGCTCGACGCGCGTACCCGTACGCGCAGAGCTGCTTCCTCTCGAGGCCACAGGCCGGCGGCAGCCATGCCCGATCAGACTCGCGGTCTGGACGACGCATCGGCGTGAAGAGCTTCGGCGCTGCCTTGAGCTGTTCGGGTGGCTCCGATCTGACTCAGCAAGAACGCTCGTCGTCGTTATCGTCGTCGTCGCCGCCGCCGCCGCCGTCGTCGTCGTTGTCGCCGTCGTCGTCGTCGTCGTCGTCGCTCGTCCTCCGCAAAGCCTTCGCAAGGGTCGGCGGCACCAGCCGCGAGGCGTTCTCGGGAGGGTGGCAATGGGCGGTGACCCAATAGGGGGGTGAAGACAAAGGGCTCCAAAGGGGACCTTGTAGGTCCCCTTTTGGAGCCACTCGGTGCCCAAAAGGGGCCCTAGAGGGCCCCTCTAAGGCCTTCGCCTTCACCCCCAATTTGGGTCACCCATCATTACCACCCGCCCGAGAAGGCCTTGCGGCCAGCCGTTGCCGACAACCCTTTTCGAAGGCCTTGTGGAGGACAAGCGACGACGACGACAACGACGACAACGATGACAACGACGACGACGACGACGACGACGACGACGACCACGACGACGACGACGACGACGACGGCGAGCGACGACGGCGACGACGACGACGACGAACAAGACGACGATCTGCACCCCCCACTGCCTTCCGCCCGACCATCACAATCGGCCCCCGACCCCTCCCGGGCTTCACCCCCGACCCCCGCTCTCTCCGCCGCGGCTACCAGGCAGTGCGTCGTCCTCGTCCTCGTCGTCGTCCTCGTCGTCGTCGTCGTCGTCCTTGTCCTCGTCCTCGTCCTCGTCGTCGTCGTCGTCGTCGTCCTCGACCTCGTCGTCGTCGTCGTCGTCGTCGTCGTCGTCCTCGTCCTCGTCGTCGTCGTCGTCGCTCGCCGTCGTCACCGTTCTCGTCGTCGTCGTCGTCGTCCTCGTCGTCGAAGGCCTTCGCACTCGGTCCCCGACCCCTCCCGGGCGCCATACCCCTGACCGCCCGCTCTCTCGGGGATCTACTGACCCGGGTCAATCCAGACCTGGGTCAGTCAGGCCTTGCAGGATCCTGCCAGATCCTGTGGGATCCTGGCCCTGCAGGACCTGGCGAGATCCGGCGCTCTGGATGACCCCCGTTTGCATTGACCCCCGTCTCTTGAGTCCCGTCTCTTGAGTCCGTAGGCGACACGAGGAGGAGGAGGATGAGAAGGAGGAGGAGGTGGAGGTGGAGGAGGGGGAGGGGGAGGAGGAAATGGAGGAGGAGGTGGAGGGAGGAGGAGGAGGAGCAGGAGGAGGAGGAGTCGGAGAAGGAGGAGGAGGAGGAGGAGGAGGAGGACGGATCGCCTAACTTAGGCGACCCGCCCTTCGGAGAAACACTCCACCCCCGACCTTCCCCCCTCTCCGCCGCGGCTAACTCCCCAGCGGCGCCGTCCAGGCGGCCCGAGGCTCCCTCCCCCCCCGCGTGGGGGCGGCGCTCCGCGAGGAGCCCCAGGACAGCGCGCCCTGGAGATGGCCGCCGCGACCTCGACCTCGCCCTCCTCGTTCGTCGTCGTCGTCGTCGTCGTCGACGTCCTCGTCGTCGTCGTCGTGGTCGCTGGTCGCTCGTCGCTCGTCGGTCGTCGCCGTCGTCGTCCTCGTCGTCCTCGTCGTCGTCGGAGGCCTTCGCCGACCGGCCCTGCTCCGACTCGGGGTCGGCCACGAGGGGGGCGTCCACGAGGGGGGTGGCGCAGATCATGGCCGGCGACATGTGCGTGGCCCCCCAGGGGGGGGGGCCAGGCAGGCGTCGAAATAAGAAGGAGCGCCAGGAACTCAAGGGGAGAGATCATGGCACCCGCCATGATATCCGTCCCCTTGAGCCATCACACCTCTTGGCCGCCCCCGACCGATCAGCGCTTCCCCAGACCTCCAGCGTCTCGAAAAAGTTGAGACGGAGGGTTTCTCGTCGTGTTCGAAAGGGCTTCTCGTCGCGATCTAAGAACATCCTGGAGGCCTCGTGCGGCAACTTGAGACACCATGTACGTAGGGTCCACGTCGGATTTACGTCGGGCTCGTCGAATGTACGTCGGATTTACGTCGGACTTGCGTCGGACCATCGACGCACGAACGTCGTCCCGCATCTGACGAGGCGGACGTGTGGGCCAGATGGTACAACTATTGCGCGCCGCGCGAGGCCCCCAGGATGTTCATCCTCGTCTTCGGCCTCTCGGGGCCCTCAGCGGACCTCGGGGCCGTCAACAAGACGACGTCGTCGTCGCTCGTCGCTCGTCGCTCGTCGCTCGATGTTTGTCGCTCGTCGCTCGTCGGTCGTCGCCGTCCTCGTCGTCGTCGTCGTCGTCGTCGTCGTCGTCGTCGTCGTCGTCGTCGTCGTCGTGAGGTCGGGTGCCCGCGTCTCGAAAAAACCGATAGACGTCGGACGTCGGGGCACTCGGCCCCGCACGTGGCCATGTAGACGGCGCCATAGGTGCCCTCCCCGACCGGCTTCTCCTCCAGCTGGTAGCGGCGCTCGAAGCGGCGATCCTCGGCGCGGAGGAAGGTGTCCTCGGGCCCTCTCCGCCGGTCCTGAGCTCGGGCCGGGTGCAGCAAGCGTATACTGACGAGGCCGGGCGAGAGGAAGCACACGGCACGACCTGATCGCGAGGCTGCGCGCCGAGGGTGCGAGGCCGTCGAGACGCCCAAGCCGAATCCGAAGCTGGAAGCCCATATGGCCCATGGCAAAAGTGTTGGGATGGGCCAAGAAGCGAGGATGGAAGAGGGCACCCTTGGGACAGCTGCTCTTCCGTGCGGTCCTGCTGGACTGTAAGGCGACAGCGACCCCGAGTGCAGCTCACATGCAGTCGGCAGCCTCACATAGCCCCCCAGAAGAGGAGGAGGAGGAGGAGGAGGATGAGGAGTAGGAGGAGGAGGAGGAGGAGGAGGAGGAGGAGGAGGGGAACGACGACGGCGACGAGACGAGGAGGAAGAGAAGAGAGGAGGGAAGAGGAAGGAGGGAGGAGGGAAATGAGGGAGGAGGGAAATGAGGGAGGAAGAGGAGGAGGAGGCGGAGGAAGAGGAGGAGGAGGAGGAGGGGGAGGCAGAGGAGGAGGAAAAGGAGGAGGAAAAGGAGGAGGAGGAGGAGAAGGAGGAGGAGGAGGAGGAGAGGACAAGGAGAGAGAAGGGAGGAGTAAAACGAGAAGGGAGGGAGGAGGGGGATGAAGGAGGAGGGGGGGCGAGAAGGAGCGATCTCCAGACGACCCCCGTGGGATTGCATCGGAACCCGGACAACGGCGCTGCATCGGCGATCGAAAGAAGCGATCGTACGGCGGCGGCGCAGCATACGAAGCCTTCAGCTCCGCACTGCCATTACTGTGCTCATGCCGCCGCTGCTGCATGAAGGCTGAAGAGGACAACGAGGCGGCACGGAGATGGAGGAGGACGACGACGCTGCGTGAAGTCGTGGAGGCTAAGGAGGACGAGGATGGGATCGGCCCAGACCCAGGCCCAGTCCGGACCTGGCATGGGCCAGGGACCAGACCAGACTGGGTCGTCCAAAACCGTTGAGGCACCTGGACGCTGGAAGCCTCGGGACCCCCCTGCCGCGCGTGGTTGGGGCAGCCCCCACCAAACAGGAAGCGGAGGGACACAGAGCAGAGAGAGTGCGAGGTAGTGGCGGCTGGCCCGAGAGGCGGGTTCAGCATGAGAAGAGCTCGCCGTCTCTGGCCTCCGACCCCTGGTCAGAGCCCTCAGCGGCGAGATGCTGCCCGAGCCCGCGCACTCGGGCCAGCACAATCTCTGAGATCCCAAGAGCCGCGGGATCTGATGCCCGCGTGGGGAAGTCCAAAAGAAACCAGGGAGAGAGAGAGTGAGGAGGAAAGAAGTGCCGGAAGGGAGGCCACGAAAAGAGCATCGGTTAGCATAGTTGGAAGCCGATCCGGAGGGAAACGGGTCCTAGACCCCAGGGACTTCTCCCAGGACCAGCTGTTCGTCCAGGGCCCGTGGAGGGCCCAGGGACCCCAAAAGCGGCGGACATCCTCAGGACCCGTTTCCCCCCAGGATCCGCTCCCCCAGTGGCGAGAGAGAGAGAGAGAGAGAGAGCGAGGAAGGAAGTGCCGCAAGGGAGGCCACGACAAAGGCACTGGGGAAAGGGGCGGGGGGGGGGCACAGGGGCAGAGACGGAGCCGCGAAGGGCGCCCGCGGAGCCACGAGGGGCAACGGTGGGCCGCGAGGGGGGCGGACGAAGCGCAGGCGAAGAGGGGCGCCGAAGGCCCCTGCAACGGGCGGGGCCAGGCGAGTGGACCCCTCACGGGCGGTCCGAGCGGGCGGGCCGCTGAAGCGCGGGTCCTGCACTCGGCGACGAGCCCGGGGGGAAGCAAGAAGGGGCGGGCCTTCTCGGAAGCCCCGGAGGCCGCCCCAGCCTTCCGAGAGGCCATCCGGGCCTTCCCCGAAGACGCAGAGCACCTCTCCGAAGGCCAGGGGGGCCTTCTGAGACGCCCCGCCGCCTGCTGAGGAGGCCTATTCCTTCTCATTATCATTCCCCCCCCTCGCTCGCCACCAATGCATGAATCGCCAGGGCGTCTCCAGCGATAGCGCGAATCCGTCTCTTGGCGGGGGCCCTTCCCCGCAGTCCTCGGGTCTGTGCCTGTGTCCTGGGCGCCGTGGCGCACGAACGACGAGGGTTGCTGTCGCCCGTGGGCCCGAGGACTCACAGCATGCACGGACTCCTTTTTGCGCCTGACCTGGCCTTCGGCGCCTCCATAACACGAGGGGGCCCTGTCAAGAGTCAGGGACTCCTTCCGACCATGGGCCCTCCACGCTCCCCGGCCCCCGCGCCTTCTCCTCCGTTCTCCCCCTCCGCTCTCCCCGGGCCCCTCTGCCCTTTTTTCCGACCGTGCGCCCACCCGCCGCTCCTCCCCTGCGCCCCTCTCTCCTTGCCCCCGTGCTCCCTCCACGTTTCCCGGCCCCCGCACCTTCTCCTCCGTGCTCCCCCCGCCGTCCCCGAGCCCCCCCCCCACTCCTTATTCCGACCGTGCGCCCCCCCCTCCTCCCCCCGCTCTCCCCTGCGCCTCCCTCCTCTTGCCCAAGTCCTTCTCCCACCCTCCCCGCCCCCCCGCGCCCCTCTCCCCCGTGCTTCCCCCGCTTTCCCCGGGCCCCCCTCCTTCTATTCCGACCGTGCGCCCGCCCGCCCCGCCCTCCCCCGCGCCCCTCTCTCCTTGCCCCGGTGTTCCCCCCACGCTCCCCGGCCCCCGCGCCTGATTCCTCCTCCGTGTTCCCCCCCCCCCGCCGTCCCCGAGCCCCCCCCCCACTCCTTATTCCGACCGTGCGCCCCCCCCCCCCCCCCCCCTCCCCCCGCTCTCCCTTGCGCCTCCCTCCTCTTGCCCGCGTCCTCCTCGCACCCTCCCCGCGCCCCCGCGCCCCTTTCCCCCGTGCTTCCCCCGCCGTCCCCAGGCCCCCCTCCCCTTATTCCATCCGTGCACCTGCCCCCCTGCTCCTCCCATTCGCCCCGCTCCCTTCGCCCCGCGTTCCCCTCACGCTCCCCGAGCTTCTGCGCCTTCTCCCCCGCGCCCCACCCGCCTTTCTCGAGCCCCCCTCCCCTGCACCCAGGTCGACGCCCACTGCCGCTGGGACGTAGACGATGCCGGTTCCGGCCTCCAGCGCGCGGCCGCTACGTTGCAGGCAGAGCTGCTGGAGCAGGCGGCGCGCCAGGTGGTGGGCACCTCTCCGGCTTCGCAAAGAGAGCTGTCCGACGCGCTAGACGAGGCGAGTTTGCGCGGCCGCTTGGCGCTGGACAGCCCTGCCGTCCGGGCCGCAGTGCTGTCGGAGACTTTGCCCGGCGCCTCCGGCTTCCTGACGGCCATACCCAGCAAGGCCATGAAGCCCAGCATGGAGCCAGCCGAATTCCGCTCCGAGGTACAGTGCCGTCTGGCCGCGGAGGTCTTTCAGGAGGAGGGTTACTGCCCCCTGGGCGACAGCGTGCTAGACGTGCACGGTTTCCATTGCTCGGTCTGCACTTGCGGCGGGGACAAGAGCGCGGCGCAGCACGCGGCCCGGAACTTGACGTACTTCTACGCCGCTTCCGCGGGGTGCAGGCCGGACCTGGAAAGGGGCCACCTCCTCCCGCCGCGGCCGGACGATGCGGCCGACCTGGGCTTGCGTCGCCCGGCAGACGTGTTCTTTGCCTTCCTGGCGCGGCGGGCCCCCAGCCGCCGTGGACCTGGCCATCACGTCGCCGCAGCGGCAGGCTGCCCTCCAGCGGGCGAGCGAGGTCGCCGGGTCGGCAGCGCAGCTCTACGAGGACTACTGGCGGACCGACCTCAACACGGAGGCGCAGTGCTCCCAGCAGGGGATCGCCTTCGTGCCAATGGTCGCCGAACGTTCCGGAGGCTGGGGGGCCTCGGGCATCCAAGTTCTGCAGCAGCTCGCGCGCAAAGCTCAGGCCAGAGATGGCAAGGCGGCGAGCCTGCACATGCAGGAGTACTTG